GCTCTGAATGCAATTGTAGCCAATGCTTAAATTCGTTCGCACAACGTGTGAGATGTGTCAAAAGCTTAAACTATCTCCAAATGCGGCGGCGGTGCTGGCTAGTTTACCAATACCATACGGGTGTCAGCAGTCCATGGGTATGGACTTTGTGTTGGTCCTGCGGAAGAACTCGGCGGACAACACGGGTGTGGTGGTCGTTGTGGACCGATTGAGCAAGGTGGCTCATCTCGCAGCAGTGCCGGACACCATCGACGCTGTGGTTACAGCGACGCAGTTTTTTCATCGTGTCTCGGACAACATGGACTCCCGGAGTCTATTATCTGATAGAGACCCGCGCTTCACTGGGAAGTTTTGGTGCTGGACACTCAGCTGACTATGTCAACAGCGGACCATCCACAGACCGATGGTCAGACTGCTTCGCAGCGTCTGCGCTGAGACGCCGAAGCGCTGGAGCACTATGTTGCCACTCGTAGAGTTTGCTCTGAACAATGCAGTGCATTCATCTACCAGCTATACGCCATTTTACGTAAACGGGGTTATTAATTCTTGCGTCCCGCTGACGCCGCCATCCAATGGCTCAGGGCTTGTTGGGTGAGGAATAGCTGAGCAGCTAGCTGATGCCCCCCTCTGCGTGCCTACAGAAGTTGGAGACTTCCTGTCTACTAGATTTCCTGTCTTACGACACGTTGGCGAAGCGATGGCGGAAAGGCAAGACATGCAGGAGGAATATGCAGACGGGAAAGAAAAAGACATGCTGAAAACACTTAGGTCGGAGACCTGATTCTATTTGATGCTAAAACCCATCGTACACATGCAGTTTCTGTTGTCTTTAAGACGAGGCCCCGTCCACAGATTTATGGACCTTTTGAGGTCGTGGCCAAGCGAGGACTAGTGTATACGCTAAACCTTCCGAGAAGGATGCGCACCTATCCGGTGCTATATATGAGCTTGCTTAAGGAGTTCCAGGATCCGGCGCAAGAGCGTTGGCGCCGGGGCGGCGCCCAAAGGCGCTCGACCACCCAGAAGTTGAACTAGCAACTGGTTATGAGCACGGGGTGCAATAACTTCCGTTTCCAGCGGCGCAAGGCGCTCCAACGTCGCACGAAGGGACGTATTTGCCTGCTCGACGGCTAGGAGCCGCTCCGACAAAGCGCGATGGTCCTCAACGTGAGGCAGTTGGAGCACAAAGTGCTTCAGCTCCAGGCACTTTAGGTCTTCCGCATAGCGGTAGTCGACCTTGGAGAGATGCTCGGCGGAGTGCTGATGACGACGGACTTAGAGCACCGCGAGTCACAGGACGGCAATCAACGACGTCGTAGCTGTCCGTCGCCGACCCTTCTCGATGAAAAAGGTGCCGTTAACTACCTCGTGGAGCGCCTTGTGGGTCGACGTCGTCGACAGGGTTTAATTGGAGTGGCGGTGATACCCAAACGCCGAGAACTCGCGGGGGTTTGAGGTGCCATTTCGGCGAGACTGCCTAGACGTCGTAGTCGCTTATGATCATAAGGATCTTGACGCTTCGCGTCGTCTGTCGCACCGCGCTTCTCAACAGTAGCCCGGGAAGCCGGAGTACCATGAACTGAGCACAAGCTATAGCCCCGAGCTGCTGTGGTTGTAGACTCAGCCGTATGAGAGCTCACAGAGCTCGCAGGAGCGTGATAGATTGCTTAATCAATTGCAGGGTGACAAGACGCAGGAAGTCGGCGTTGCGCCTTGAGTTTGGCAGACCCAAATCTAAGATGGCGCTCAACGCACACGTCCACTAGCAAAGAAATTTCCGATGCCGCTGCACCCATCGCTCAAAGAGCCCATCGTCATCTGCAGCGGTTTTGCCAGGGACGAGCACCACAGATATGGTCCGCATTGCGGAAACAGGAGCACCTCCTTTTTGAGCTCAAATTCGAGCGCGGTTCTGATCCATTCGGGATCTCTTGGGGTGCCAAAAAGCGAGCTCGCAAAGCTTTCCGCTGATCAAGCTCAGGTTGTAGTGGCCTAAGGCCCGACTACGCAGACGCCTAACGATCGAGTGATCGCGTCTTTCGCGTCAGTAGCGGGATTCGCCGAGCGGAAGCCGTATTCCAGACGAGGGGCTAAGACCGAGCGTAGATACGAACGTAGGAGAGCCGCCTTGTGAGCAGCCACCTATTGCTGCTCCTGTGTCTCGTCGAGGTGACTGGTAATAATACAACTTCCCCCGAAAGCCGAGAGGTCGCGGAGCGGACATGGTGTCCGCAAGGTTGGAGCTGGGCTCACGTCGCACCGCTGGCGCACTTCATCATCCCCGTCTCACTATGCTGGTAAAGGAATATCTGACTCGTAATCAAATTCCCCCAACTCCTCAACGAGGAAATTCGTTGCTCGGGACGGGTGCGTTGTGTTGCACTCAGTTGCCGAGGGATTGGGCTGTGCTTTCCGTGAAGTCGCGGACGGACTGTCCGGATATGCATCGTGTGCAGAAGAAGAAGGGCTTGCCCACGGGCGCCCTCGCTACCCGCTAGGCTGGGTGCTTTGCGTGTCGTGGACACAGGGATCATAGAGCAAAGAATGTGCAAATTTGTTCTTGAGAAACGTTAAGGTATCTCAGACACGCGAGCCTCGTATAAGGCGACCGTTGAATGTGCAAATTTGTTCTTAAGAAACGTTAAGGTGTCTCAGACACGCGAGCCTCGTATAAGGCGACCGTTGAATGTGAATTGGGGACATTAATTGGGGGGGAGTGTCACGGCCCTAAACGAACCTTTGGAAGAAAGGGCGGGTCGCACAATCTTGTTCGACCGTACATTGGTGTGTATTACACAACTAGTGTAATAATACAGTGGCGTGGCTATACCGTAACAAGAAGCCACCACGTTGCAGGATTGCCAGTAGTAATGCATATTACGATATTTATCAGGTTTTGCTAAATTAGCTAGGTTTTACTAGATAAAATTGGGAAAACTTAGGGCTTCATATATAAGCGGCTCTACCGCAATCAGACAATTAATACAGTTTCAGTTTTAAACAGAAATGTTCGTTTGGCTCGGTTAAGGCTTTAGTACTTGGATAGCGTAAGGTCTGTGACCTTAGTTTAGCTTCCTCAAAGCAAAGAGCTACGACACCCCGCTGCAGCATGCGCCAGTTATGCCACAAAATTTACAGACGCTCCCGCGACTTTAAAATAGAACGACCAAGAATCTTCTTTGTCCATTGAGAGAGATTGCACCGAGTTCATTTGACGATGTATTCGCTCATAGAAAGAAAAGGGGTGAGAGGTCTGACGTCGATGTTCATCTTGATCGTCTACGTAAAGTCTTCCGAATTTTGCGAGAGAATAAAAGCTAACATGAAAAGTATATTATTATGCACAAGAATGGCGTTCGTGTAGATCCGACAAAAGGCAAAGTTATATATAATTGGCCTATGCCAATGAATGTGAAATAGCTGATTCAATGCCTGGGCTTGGCTAACTATTTGTGCAGCGTTAGTGTAACCCTTAACGCCTCTATGTTGAGTGGGAATGGTGAGAAGATCAGCAGACGTTGTTTGCCGAAGTGTGGCAGAGCTTGCGAGAAGATTATGTCCTTGTGATTTCAAACCACGACAAGCCTTCACATGTGGTCTTCGATGCGAGAAACATGCCACTATTGTCCGTTTGGAGCATGACCGATTATATGGCCACCCCCAACTTCTTCCACCCAAATAATAAATTTCCTTTCCTTAGCAAAACTGCCTCACGGTTGGGCCGGGTGTGCTTCAACCGATGTCTGTCTCAGATTTTTAAAAGAGGTTAACCAGCTCATTTGCGCGGTTAGTGGATGCTTCCAGGTGAGCCATTATCACCAGTAGTTCTTGGGCTACAAAATGTGCTATCTTCTTCTGACCAGCTAGAGACAGAAGCTTCTCAGCGTTGCTCGATTTTTAGAGTGAACAACTCACGGAGATACTGTAACGGTGTTGTATACTTAATCCTCGCACGGTATAATTGCACGAAAGTCGTTTGTCACATGGTGAAATTGTGAATACTCTTATGGACCAATACATTAATAATTATGAAAAATTAAAGGAGTAGGGCAGAAAAGAAAGGCACTTCTATGATGACATAGAGAAAAATGTGTATGTTTAGTTTTATTCAAAATATAATAAATCTTTAATACATGTATTCCTGAAATAGCACAACAAAAACAAACTTACAGTAAAGAAGCTTTGACCGTTAAGATGAACACACGGAGATTGGGTTTGTATAGAGCAGAACCGAGAGCCTTGAAATACTTCGTTTTTTATTTTCAACATTGACATACATATCTAGAATTTAGCAAATACTAAATAGTAATTCCATCCTCAACAGTACCAGTACGTACCCTATACGGTACATATCCACAGTTCGTGTTTGTCGCACAAGTGAGGCAACCCCTCACCCAGCGCCCACCGAGCAGTTGCTAGCTTTATTGTACCTGCACGACGTGGACATCGAATCTCGTTGTATGTAGCCATGATTTACTGAACTTAAAGCTACTGTTGCTTCGACAAAGCTCTCAAGATGATGGACCTGGAACAAGTTCAACAAGTTCAAAACTAACAAACTCAGCTTCCCGATCATTGACTTACTTACCAACATCGGGATTGCCCAACCGGTGCGCGTTCATCACCAAGCTCATGGAGCAAGGTTACGGCTAGTGACCTTGATGTTGTCGGTTAAATTCGCTTACCGATACTTTACCAATACTTGTAATTTATTATGTGTTTACCATGCCTATTAACTTTTTAGTTTGTTCACTAATGCCTTCATTTCGAAGTAACTCTTTGTAAAGATTAGTTAAAATGTTTGTGTGCTACTTTACCGATGACAATACTATAGCAAACGTGTGTGGAACGCTCGTTCACTGGACTCAAATAGCGAAATTATCTAAACTGCCGCATGTAGAAGAAATATAAATTTTTATGGGGTCACCTGTTTTCGTATGGCAACTCTTTACGACTATCCAAAGAGGTTTGACAAGCATATCCATTGCTGCCTTTTCCGCTTCGAGATGCTAGAGAGGACGCTTATAAGAACGCAGGGAGGTTTGGCGTTGCGGCGATCTCTTGATTGGTAGGAAGCAATATGATCAAAACTTTTGCCTACAAGCTTTTGCCTACAAGCTTTTATTGAATACTGAATCGAGATTGACAAAGATAATCAAATTTTCACATAAATTTTCGATAAAAATTTTGTGATTTATAATACCACTGTCGCCATCCTTGTGATGTGTGCTTTTTTCAGTTTTCAAATTTTGACTGTTGACGACGATTTATGTGCAATAATTTGCAATTCAAGTCGAATTTGTTATACTTTGTATTCTTGTAGACATTCCATGCATATCATATCGAGATTTATCAGACCTGACAGTGCTGCTACATACAGGCAACGCATAAAATAGATATTTATTTATACGACTATAGTGTATGATACAAATGGTTTGGGCTCGTCACTTTTTTATACGATTCACTTAAAATAATGGGCTCTTTTCGTCATTGGTTTATTCGTCGACGGAGACGGGCCAGACATGTAATCATTGGTTAAAAGCGATTGTCTAGCTGCTTCAAACAACAATCAAAATTTCACTGGCTATTATATGACTTACAGTACATTTACAGTATATGCAAGAAGAGGCAAATTTATTATAAGCTTTAAACAAAAGATAAGAAGGTGGAATGTTTCTGGAAACCGTCAAGTGTTCGGCCTAGGATTATTAAATTGGAGTATCATGTTTGACATTCTCATTTTTATGTATGACACAATTCTAGACGTGTTACAAGGTTGATATTGACAACAAGTGATCCATTTAACGTTGCAATAATTTGTTGCATCCACTTAACCTAATTTACTTCTTAGCATCCTTCTAGATACCTGTCAATGCGATACGGAGGTTATGCGAAGATTGGAAAGGCACTTGAGCTTGATTAAAAGAAGATTATATGGTTATGGTACCGTTGTTATCACAATTTGACGATAAAACGAAGCCATTTGATAGAATGTCTGTTTAATAATTAAAATGATTCGCATTCCCTCGTTACCACTCACTCCTTGTACATTTATTGGAGCGTTTATTTGCATTGTCAGGGTTATCCGATAGACTCAAAGATGTACTTGAAGGATACAAAAGTTGTTTTCGTACAAGAAATATCCTGAATAAAGCAATTACAGTAAGGCTTTTCTCATGATCAAATGTTTATTCAATGTCAAAACGATAAAAGGTATTACAAGAAACGCTCTCATTAATAACACTCATGATCTCATTAAATCTGAAAACATATAGATTACCGCAAGAAAGCAAAGACCAGCTATTGTATCTCTTTTACTGTACTCTTCCGTTAAGACCATCTGCAGTGACGTTACAAATCCGGTCTCGGAGCAAGGCAGTCGTCGTCCACCACACTTCGAAAAGACCTCGTTGCTTCCGTTTCCTCTAGATTGTACTACAGACGGCTTGTCGTAGGACGCGCCCTTTCTTCCAATCTTTCGGCCGTTCTGCTCCAGGCCAGCTCAGAGTCAGTACCGTGCTTTCGACAGACAAAGCGATGGTAAGCCAAACGAACGGCAAACCTTCTAAGAAGCACAAGAAGAAGGCGCGAAAGGAAAGTAACAATATCAGTGAAGTCGCCTCCGCGCCACGGATCACGGCCGGTACACGTCGCTCACGCCGTGACAGTACTTGCAGCTGTGACAGTAATGTTGACGCAAACGAACGCCGGCCAATTATTGCGTCTGCTTCAACGCACAGCTTTTCAAGTATTTCTACGCGCCTATCGCGCATCCTAAGCGATGCTAACGCGCCGACGCTGGCCATGGACGTGACAGGTCACATCACATTGTGGAACTACAAGCTAGCTGAGCTCACGGGATTGCCAAGCGCCGACATGATTGGCCGCCACGTCACGGAGATTGTGGTGGCTTCCAGGAAAAGCGACGTCACACGCGCATTGGACATGGCGCTTAGTGACATCAATACGACCGTGCGAGACGTAAAACTAGAGCTCAACACGCCTGAACTGGGTCGAAATTTGAAGCTGCTCGTTAACTTGACTGTCGACGTAGACGACACAATGACGGCGTCGAGTGTTGTCGCTATTGGACAGGACGTTGCAGCGTGGCCAGTGCCCGAGTCGCAATACGTGCGTGTCGCTCAGCAGGCAAATGCGCCTATTTTTGAGCTCAATCGAGACGGACTCATCATTCTCTGGAATTTCAAAGTCGAAGCACTCACGGGCTATTCAATCGATCAAGTTCTTGGTACGCCTCTTGTTGACTTAGTGCATGATGACTTTCGCGTGCTTGTTGAGGAACTACTTACACGCGTTGCATCAACAAACACGTCGGTATCCGAGTTTGAGTTGCCATTAAAGACTGCGAGTGGCGCACGTATCGAGCTGCTGCTTAGCCTCACGCCACAAGTTATTGTCGATGGGGCTGACACCATCGTCGATCGCATCGTGGCTATTGGACAAGACGTCACGGCACACAATGCAAGTGAAATGGAGTACAGTAAATTGGTAGATTCAGCCAATGCACCCATTTTTGGAGTCGACACAAAGGGCTGCGTTGTCATTTTCAATAAAAAAGCAGCAAAAATCAGTGAGTATTGGCCAGGTGAAGTCATGGGCGTTGATTTGGTATCATTCTTAATTCATGAAGATTATCGCGAACAAGTGGCTGCAGTCTTTCAAAAGGCGCTACGTGGTGTCGAGACGGCAAATTTTGAATTTCCACTGATCACGAAACATGGTCGAAAAGTCGAGATTCTCCTGAATGCGACGCCGCGGTACAACCATGAAGGCGTAATTGTTGGCGTCGTCGGCATTGGTCAGGATATTACCGAACGGATTGTACAAGAGCAAGAGTACAGCCGATTGATTGATACAGCCAACGCACCTATTGTAGGCGTGGACAAGCAATTTCGTGTTACAATTTGGAATAAAAAAGCTGCAGCCATCACCGATTACTCGAATCTGCAAGCGATTGGGAAAGATCTTCTTGGATTTATTGCTGAAGATGCACGTGATACGGTAGCAAATGTATTGTTGAAGGCGATGGGAGGCATAGAGACTCCAAATTTTGAGTTTCCGCTAGTTACAAGAAGTGGAAGGCAGCTGGATATTTTACTTAACGCTACACCTCGCTTTGATCACAGTGGCGCGATTACTGGCGTTGTCGGTATTGGACAAGACTTTACTGACCAGCGCGCGCAAGAAGAAGAGTACATACGATTGATTGACACGGCAAATGCACCGATCTTCGGTATTGATATGGACGGCCGAGTGGACATTTGGAACCGAAAGGCGGTTGCAATTACAGAGTATATGGTCCTTGAGGCACGAGGTACGCAACTTGTTGAGAGTTTCATTCCACAAGATTATCGTGCTGGCGTGTCTGTCGTCATGTCGAAGGCCATGGAAGGAGAAGACACTGCAAATTTTGAGTTTCCGCTTATTACAAAGACTGGCCGACGAGTCGAAATTTTACTGAATGCGACTCCACGGTATAATCAACATGGAGACATCGTCGGTGTGGTCGGAATTGGCCAAGACATCACAGAACGCATTGTACAGGAGCAAGAGTATAGTCGCCTGATTGATACAGCCAACGCGCCCATCTTTGGAGTAGACATGGCGGGTCTTGTAAATATCTGGAACGATAAATCAGCTGAGATCACGCAATTTACAGCCAATGAAGTCATGGGAAAAGATTTAGTACAAGAACTAATCTCCGAAGGGTACCGTTCAGCTGTGGGGTTAGTGTTGTCTCAGGCTTTGAACGGAGTACAAACGGCCAACTTTAATTTTCCATTAATCACTAAGACTGGACGACGAGTGGAAATTCTGCTAAATGCTACTCCGCGGTATAACGAGTTGGGCGAAATTGTTGGCGTGGTGAGTATAGGCCAAGATATTACGGAACGGATTGCTCAGGAGCAAGAATATAGTCGCTTAATTGATACGGCCAATGCTCCAATTTTTGGTGTCGATAAAGAAGGCTGTGTAAACATTTGGAACAAAAAGGCGGCTGAAATTATGCAATACTCGAACGATGAAGTAGTTGGGGAGAATCTGGTGGAAAAGTTTATTACGGAGGATTATCGGGAAGCTGTTGGTGCTGTCTTATCAAAGGCGCTTGGTGGCGTCGAGACAGCGAACTTTGAGTTTCCGCTGGTGACAAAGGCAGGACGTCGAGTGGAGATTCTGCTGAACGCCACGCCGCGCTTTAATGAGCACGGAACAGTGATTGGTATGGTCGGGATTGGGCAAGATATTACGGATCGAATTGCGCAGGAACAAGAGTATGCGCGATTGATCGAGAAGGCCAATGCTCCAATCTTTGGCGTTGACGCAGAAGGAAAGATCAATATTTGGAATCATAAAACTGCTGAAATGACGCAATACTCCAAAGAAGAAGCAGTCGGGATGGATTTGATGAGTTGGGCGATACCTAAACAGTATCGTGATGCGGTAGAAACAATTTTGTGGAAGGCTTTGAAAGGTGATGAAACATCAAATTTTGATGTTGAATTAAAGAAAAAGAATGGGCGCACTGTGAACATTCGCATGAATGCTACTGCAAGATTTGACCAGCATGGTGGAATCGTGGGTGTAGTAGGTATTGGTCAAGACTTGACCGATCGAATAGTACAAGAGCAAGAGTATACGCGTCTGATCGACACGGCCAATGCACCAATCTTTGGCGTGGATGCGAATCTGTGCGTGAATATCTGGAATAAAAAGGCCGCGCAAATTACAAAGTATTCTACTGCCGAAGTCATCGGCGAGAATCTCGTCGAGACGTTCATATCTCCAGAATATCGGCCTGCAGTTGCAGATGTGTTCAATAAGGCATTAAATGGTATTCAAACGGCCAATTTTGAGTTTCCACTGATTACACGGCCTGGAACGCGAATTGAAATTCTTCTGAACGCAACACCACGCAATGATATGCACGGAAATATTGTCGGCGTAGTGGGCATTGGTCAAGATATAACCGACCGTATCGCACAAGAGCACGAGTACTTTCGATTGATCGATACGGCGAATGCGCCAATTTTTGGGGTTGATACGTTTGGCTGCATTAACGAGTGGAATCAGAAGATAGAAGAGATTACGGGGTACCACAAGTCTACAGTGCTTGGTCTGTCACTGGTGGATGCGTTTATCAACTCTGAAAATCGACCAGAGGTACGAAAGCTACTGAACCAGGCTCTGATTGGTATTGATGTTGGGGAAATGGAATTGCCCATGACGACTGCTGCAGGTCGATCTCTGCTATTGCTAGTGAATGCTTCTAGCAAGAAAGATATGCATGGAAACATTCGCGGTGTCATTGGGGTAGGACAAGACTATACAGCCAAGAAGCACATGGAGGCAGCAAAAGTAAATTTTCTTGCGTCGTTTAGTCATGAGCTGCGTACACCACTAAACGGAGTACTTGGGATGCTGGAGTTGTTGCGCGAACAAAAGCTAAGCAAAACACCAGAACGCTACGTACATATCGCCTACATTTCTGGCTCGCTGCTGCTCAATTTGATCAATGATATCTTGGATTTGTCGAAGATTGAGGCTGGGCACATGGAAATCTCTGCAGATCCGTTTCAAATGGAAGATTTGTTGGAATATTCAGTGGAAATCTTCAAGTTTAAGGCACGTGAAAAGCACATCAAGTTGACGCTCGAGTGCTCACCAAAGGTGCCACAGCGTGTCATAGGGGATGTCAGTCGACTTCGTCAAGTAATATTGAACTTGTTATCAAATGCAATCAAGTTTACGAATGAAGGGTCGATTACAGTGCGATGCAGCATGGTGCCGTCACCAGACTTGCCGAAGCATTGTATTAAACTGTTATTTCAAGTCATTGACACGGGTGTTGGTATGGATGAGGAAGAAAAATCGCGTTTGTTCTCACTTTTTACGAAACTTGAGCGTACACGCAAAAATAATCCGACGGGCTCAGGCTTGGGGCTTGCTATCTGCAAGCAACTTGTAGAGCTGATGGATGGTGATATTGACGTCGATAGCGAGCTGGGCGAGGGGTCCGAATTTTTCTTTACCGTTGTGGTACGTCGTCTTGAAGACCAAGATGAAGAAATTGTCCCGCCATTCCCGGTTTTGATGGCTGCAGAATCCGGAACAAATTCGGCTTTAGCTGTCAACAATGGCCTTCGATCCACTGCGTCCATGTCAGAGCTCGTGCCGCAACATGCTCGGATCTTAACAGTTGAAGACAATGAATTCAATTGGGAGGTCGTCAAAAGTTTCTTTATGGAGGACAATCACCTTCTTCAGTGGGAAACGAATGGACTGGATGCGTGTCAAATGTACCAAGAACATCACGAATCGTATGACATCATACTTATGGATTGTGAAATGCCAATTATGAATGGATACGACGCGACTCGAAACATTCGAGGCTTTGAAAAACTCCACAAGCTCCCGCGGATTCCCATCATCGGAGTCACGGCGTATGCTATGAGTGGCGACCGTAAAAAGTGTTTGGATGCTGGCATGGACGAGTTTATCGTCAAACCCATTTCCAAGCCAGAGTTACGAAAGGCTATTCGCAAGTGGATGCGCGTTCGTTACTTAGGGCAGCATAATTCTCGCTCGTCACGCGTCGAGTCTCTCGATGCAATTAGCGTTGACGTGGACTCATTCTCCAACCAGAATGGCGCAAACTTGGTAGCTGCATCGAGGCACAAGGAGAAATTGGATCTAGACCGAGCAATTTCAGACTTAGAACTAGAGGATCCAATGATGATAGGCCAACCCGGTGGTATACAAACGGTAGCTAGTTCTGAAGCATTGCTTATGGCGCTTACGACAATCAGCGAGGGCAAGAGTAATTCTACAAGTTCGGGCACTGTCGGAAATACCATCGGAACGGTTGAGATTCAGCGCGAGACTCTTAAATCGCCGAAGATTGTACAAAATTTAAATGGAGTACCGCCAACACATCCCGGGACGCTTGTGAATGCGTCGAGTATTGTTGGCATGAATTTGTTTGCTGCAGCAAAGGCAGCGGGTATTTACCCAATGGATGCAGTCGAGCCAACGTCTCACTCAAGTCCGAATTCGTTTTCATCGAGTGACGGTAATAATCAGCAGGAGGCTACTGAAGTGGCCAATAGCTCTACATCTTTGGCGAGCAAGGCCGCACGAGCATTTTCTATGACTATGGCTCCGGGAGAAGTTGTGATCCCAACAGGTGATCCGATTGATTACTCTCTGGGAGTGGAGCAGTGTGGTGCAAATGAAAGCCTTTTTGTTACTCTATTGGAAAAGTATGCAAATTTGAGCGATGAGTTTATGCGACGCATTGAGGAAGCTTACTCTCAAGGTGACTTGGTCGTGCTGCGACGCGAGAGTCATTCGCTTAAGGGATCATCCGCTTACGTAGCAGCCATGCGAGTGTCCAAGGCAGCATTTCGAGTCCAACTAGCGACTGAGCATGTGATGGAAGCGACTGCAACGAGTGAAGACCACACAGCATTAAACGATGCGTTTCATCTACTAAAGAGCGAATATCGTGCTCTACGTGGCTATCTTCGTCGCAATTTCTCGTTCCGCGCGAGTATTGGTAGTGGAAATCAAGAAGTTAAGAAGAAGAATAGTGGTGGCGGAGGTGACAATGCCTGTGTGGTCATGTAAAGCCGAGATCAAAAGATAATTGTCGGCATCTGTAGCGAAGCTATGAAGGCTACAAAAATAGTAAAAGCATGTGCGCCGCTGCAGTGTAACATAAAATTGACAATCTATGTATTGCCACGAACATCTATCAAGCTCATTTAAACTGCTTCTCAGCATCGTTGAAATAAGTCAGTTCAATATCATGGAGTAGTTCGTTCATAGCTTCTTGGAACTTGGCGCATACCATTAAACGATTAGCTCCGATCTGCTCTGCAAATCGTAATAGCTTGCTGATAAATTACGAATGGTGAGTGGGAATTCTGTCAACGAACATAACATGTTTAAGGAACTTACCCTTTCTGCATGGTTGGTAGGAGCTGAAGCCACGTCACGACGTCACTGAGAGTGTATCCGTGTTCAATTATAAGCTCTTTTGCATCTTTAGCGTAGTGTTCAGCAACCTTGCGCACGATTTCGTCCACTTCCAATTGTTCTTTCCTGTCATCTTCGATACTCTTCGTGTCATTCTCGTTTGCGCAATCTACAGCTTTTTCGTTACCACAGTGCCGCTGAATGAACTCGTGCTCAAGAAGTTTCTTTACACTCCATCGCTCCGTCTGATCTTTCGTTAAACACTTCGCCAAGAAGTCACAGAAAAGGTCTGAAAATTCGCCTTCGGGAAGTTGAGGTGGCTACCACAGCAATTTGTTGAGATCTTCTTCAGACAAGGAGCAACAATGAAACTTACCGGCTCATTGCGAATCATGTGAAGCATTTCCCAGTACCCACCTCGTGATAGATACGGGAACTTGCCGAGAGCACAAGTCATGATCGAAAGACCAAAAGACCAGACGTCTGACTTGTAAGAGTATTCCTGAACGCAAAAAGAAAGTCAGTTAGTCAAACACAGAAGTTGCTGCTGATTCTCAAACGTCGAGATACCTCACTAGCAATTCGCTCTGGTGACATGTAAGTGAGTGTTCCCACAAATGTCGTTGCTTTGGCGAGAGAATTTTCCATTTCACGAACAATACCAAAATCCGACACTTTGACATCTCCAAAATGATTGATCAGCAAGTTGCTAGGTTTGATATCACGATGAAGTTGATGCGTGTTGTGAAGAAAAGCAAGTCCCTTGAGAACGCGAAATGAAATATTGGCTAATACGACTTCGTTGGTACATCCACCAGTGTCTACGATGTCCTGAAGAGAGCCCCCATCCATATACTCGACGACAATTGAGACATTACCTTCGTTCGGGTTCATAAAAGCGTCATACAAACACACAAGCTCCGGGCACGCCACACTTTGCCGTGGTGTTTCGACAGCTTCGGCACCCGGCAAAGTCGCCAAATTATTGTATAGAGCGGTAAGCTCTGCGGTAAGTTGATGACGTTTGTCATACTCGAATACTGGGATAACCTTGACAGCAACGAGCATAAGAGAAGGAACATGCAGAGCCTTGTGCACGACGCCACTCGCTCCACGTCCAAGAATTCCAAGCTTAACCAAGTGTTTTTTTGTATTGGATGGCTGCTGTGGTCTGTCGGATAATGTGCTCGGCAGATTCTCGGGGGATCGAGTGAGGCCTGTCTGTCTGATCTGAAACCCCACAGTGTCAAATGTTCCTGACGCCGACAAATCGTACGAACGCTCTAATCGATCTGTGCTACCAGTATGGAGATCAAGCTGAAAGTCCGAGCCAAGACCTTGAACAAAGTCGCGTTGAATGCCTTTTCGATGCGTGGACGAAATCGTTGGTGACAACGAAAGGCTCGGTCGATAACCACAGCGAGGACCCGAAAGTTTTGGACTTGTAGTTGCTTGGCAACCAGGAGCTACGTGATCAGAGACATTGATCTCGAATTCTTCAATTTCCAGCTTTAACGCCACTGAACGTGAATGTCCATCAGATGCAAGTCGTATCTCACTCAATTTATCGTTTTTCTTTTCGGCAATTTTCGGCATCCGTTCTCCTTCCTCAATTGCTGGCTCCACTTCCGTCCGCATGGATCGAATTCTTCTCATATCGCTGGCTAGAGACTGCACACTGTGTGCTGTATGAACTTTTTTTTCTCGCGAATCATTCATATTGCCACCAGTTCCCGATGTCGGTAAACGATGTCGATCTAAAATTTTTACTTCTGGCTGCTTGATTTTTGACCCTTTCGCGCTGTTGCAATACGTCGCTTTATCCTCAGCATTCTCGAAATGGATAGCACCCGTTTTTGCCTATTGTATACAATAAACGTGGTTACATCTGGACAGCGAATTCTACAGAGTCCAATTTTGGTAACCTGTAGCATAGCTCCCAGTTCCTCGTCAACGCGCAATGATGACCTTCACGCAGAACAATTTCTACTTGTTCTTTGTATTTTTGAAGTGTCATGTCGTTACATTCCAAACGACGCATGGAGTTTGAAATTATTTTGAGACGTGGAGTAGCATTCAGGATGCGATAATTGTGCAGATATTATATCGCCTATTCTTCGGTATAGTATCCAGATCGTACTCAGCATTTCAAATTTGACTGAGATCTCTATTCAAAAGCGACCTGACAGCTTTGTGCGTTTTAGAAAACAATGTACCCAAAGCTATTTCTTCTTCGACCGCAACAAATTAGGGATAATTGTGACCGTGAAAGTTACATAGATTCCATTCGCACTGGTTCTCATGCTATCGCCGAGCATCTCGTCTTTTTTGCGTTTAAACTGCTTCATCGCTATCCTTTCACCTACTGAACCAAAGAAGAGTGTCTGAGAGGTATGTTGGGCGCACACAACCGATAGTCTACTTTTGTGGGTATTAGTTAAAAGCGTGTATTCTGTTCCTCACTTGATTGACTCGCTGGAAACTTTATCGCCAAGATACTGTAAAGTCTTGTCTTTGGCAGCTTTCTTGGCAGCTACCGCTTGTGTGATCTGAGCCATCTTATTGACACTAGTACCGATGACAGCGTCTTTAGCCTTTAAAGTCGTATGCTCAGATAATGACCGAGTTGCATTACTAGCCAATTGACCCAGACTCAAGGACGCCTTATACTGAAGCTCCTCATCCGTGGATCTCGCTCGAGCAATACGCAATAGAGCTTGAATCCCTCCTTCCTCAGCAATACGCAGATGATTTTCATAATTATCAGCTAATTTGAGAAGCGCAAGTCCAGCGTAATGACGCGGCTCGGCATGCACCGACATGATAGCAATGAGCGGTCGCAACACGCCACGCTCGACAAGACGAACCTGATAGTCTCGATTGGACGCCAGATGAGCTAAGATGAACGTTGCATACTCCTGACATTCCATATCTTCGACACAAGCCAGTGAGATAGATGCATCGAGACCACCTTCACGAAACAGAACGTCATGGAAATCTGTCTGCTGCTCCACTATCAGCGCGAGAATATATCCACAATTCCTCATCGTCGCTGTATCTCCACAAGTCGACAAAGCTATAACGTGAGCAAGAATTCCCAGCTCAATCAGTTTTTGCAGCACATCTTTACTCTCCGCCAAAGATCCAAGACAGTAGAGTGCAAAGTGAACGCATTCCTTATCGGTTGATGCAAGTAAAGCAAGCAGAGGAAGTAGCCCGCCACTTTGCATAACTGACATCTTCGTCATACTCTGTTTTCCCAATGTGAGAGCGTTGAGAGCCAAGCAGCCACAAAGCTGGACATCGGTACTAGGATACCGAAGCAAATCAATCAGCGGTGGCACGGCACCGTGCTCCATCATCCGTAGCTTGTTGTCACCCATTCCCCCGAGAGCTAGAGCAGCCAAAGCCAATGCTGCGTATCGCTGAATGGACGCATCTGGATATCGGATGAGATGTGTAAGTGGACGAATAGCACCTTGCTCGACGATTTGGGCCTTGTCGTTACTCGATGAAGCTACGTTGCATATGGCTAACGTTGCAAATCGCTGTGTTGCTATATCCAGGGACCTTGTGAGACGTATCAAAGATGGCAGCGCTCCCTGAAGCACCAGCTCCGATTTAATCGAGTTTGTGATGGACAAGGAGGCAAACACTCTCGCGCAGTCTCGTTGCACTCGTGCATCATCGTGAGCACCAATACTGATCACGGTCGAGATCGCCCCTTCGCGCACAACGTCTGCTTGATGCTCGATCGAATCCGCCACATTCGCGAGAGCGAAAACACAATCTCGTTTGACTTCCAGATCGTTGTAAGTACAGCAACGGAGAATTTGTGCCAGGCCTCCATCCCGCACAAGTTTAAGCTTGTTTTCTTCTTGTAAGGAAAAGCTAGAGAAAGCTGCAGCTGCAGTTCGCTGATAATCGATAAGTGGGCTCTGTGCCAGCATAACAAACGGCCGCAGAAGTGACTCTTTAATGATACGACCACGAATTGCTGGATTCGCAGACAAAAAACGCAAACCCATTGCTGCGTATCGTTGAGTGACGTCATTTGTCGAATCAGTCAGTTCAATGAGGCTCAACAAAGCACCTTGTTTGTATACAAGTTGGTGACTTTGCTCGCTCGAGCAGATATTTGCCAATGCGCGACTGACATCTTGTTGAATCTCAGCAACATCGTGACAAACTTTGGCCAACACAACCAGTGCACTTGTCAAGCCTTCAGCCACAATTCTCTGCTGGTTTGCAGGGTGCTCGGATAAGTTTGCGATTAATCCAGCACATTGACACTGTAAATCTCGAAGATCCGTTGCGCCAGGTTTCGTGGTCAGACAGCGTAAAATTGGCTTCAAAACCTCATCCTCCACGACTTGCTGCTTAATTTCTGGATGAGAGGCTGACGATGTTAAATGTCGCAAAGCTGCAATTGCAGGGGCTTGTAAAGGGGCTTCCACATTTCGTAAGAATGTGATTAGGGAAGAAATCCCCCCTTCCTCAGCGTACTGTCGTCGAAATTCGCTGTTACTTGCCAGATCACGCAACGCCAGAACACTTTGACGACGCGTGTTCAGCTCTTTAACATGCAGTAGAAAGAAAAGCGTCTTAAGACCACCTTCATGTACTATGCTACGATGGCTTGCAAAATTTGGCGCAAGTTTTCGTAGTGCTAGTGCTGCATTATACTGGCATTCGGCATCCGATGACAAGCCAAGATGAATCAGGCCAGGAAGGCCATCTGCAATCAGATCGGGATGGTGCTCGAAGCTTGACAGCAAGTTTGCCACAGTTCGCGATGCCTCTCTGTGAACATCTTCATGTTGATTATTCACAAGAGCATTTAAAAAGCCACCACAACGCTCCGCCACAAAACAAGAGTGCGTATCAAGATGCTCAGCGAGATTCGCAAGTGCTCCACATGCTTGCCTTGCTACTTCAACATCAGGCGACTGAGTCAGCTTGATCAGTGGACGAAGAGCTCCTTGCTCGACAATTTCCACCTTGTACTCATCGCTTAAGGACATATTGCAATACGCAGCTGCGACTTCTCGCTGCGTCTCTAGCTCTTTCGACAAACCTGCAATTCTTAAAGGAGGTAGACCGCCTCCCCGTACGATCCGTCCGCGGTTTTCAGCTGAGAACTGACACAAACGACGCAGTGCTGCTACTGCCAGTGTGTGCGCGTTAGAGTCCTCTGCGTACGCTAACATTATAAGAGCTGCAATGCCCCCCTCATTGCCAATAGCGGCACATTGTGCCGGGTTACCTGCAAAATTTGCCAGTGCGAAGGCTGCATAGAGTCGAATATCCTCACTTTTCGACTGACCAAGCCGAAACACGACTTGCAGCACGCCTCGTTCAATCATGTGGTTATGATTGTTCTCATTTGCTGCCAAATTTGATAGCGCCATTATTGCAAACCGCTGACTCTCTATGTCGTCTTCATCGTTCGCTAACGATAGTATTGGAGTAAGGCCGCCATGAACAAGTATCTGAATCTGTAAAAGCGAGTCACACGCTAGATTACATAACGCAATACATGCGTATCGACCGATAGCTGGATCAATCGGATCTTTTGCAGCAATTATTAGTGCTTGCAATCCTCCACCGCGTGCTGCAGCTAATCGTGTGTCACCGTTCGCTGCTAAGTTGCAAAGCGTCATTATGGCGTAGCATTTGCAATCTCTGTCCTTCGCTCCCGCAAATTTAACAAGAGCTGCCTCGATGCCCATTTCAATAATACTTTTCTGGTTGTTGGCTGCACACGACACGTTGTATAGCGTCAACACCGCACTACGCTGACACTCTAGACTTCGTGACAAACACATCACTTGAAGTGGTTGGAGTGCATGGCGCTCCACGACGACATTTCGATTCTGACGATGTGCTGAAATATTTGCGAGAGCCATACTAGCATATCGACAGCACTCAAGGTCGCTGGAGCCTGCAAGTTTTATAAGCTGATCGAGACTATCATGTTGCGCTACAAGATGTAGTTGGTTGACCGGATAAGCTGTCAAGTTGCATAGGGCCATGGCCCCACACTTTGCACACTCGATGCTAGGTGACTGCAATAAAGCGACAAGCATTCCTAATGCACCAGCCTTCACAATTTTTTGCTCAATGTTCGAGTTTGTTGATAAGTTACACAAAGCCATGGCTGCGCATCGCTGAATGTCATGATCTTGCGTTTCATCTAGTCGAGCGACAAGAGCAGGCAAAGCACCGGCATCTACAATACGTTCCTGATTCTCAGTATGAGAACTAAGTCGATAGATAGCACGCGCTGCATACTGCCGTGTAGACGTAAACTCGCTTCTTAATAGATCGGTCAGCGGGACGAGACCTCCAAGCTCGGCAATCTGGTACTGGTTGTGCGACGTCACTGCCAAATTGCCCAGACACATCGCTGCATCACGTCCACAAAACTCTTCTTTAATCTGTGCAAGATTGATTACGGCACGAAATTCCTGAAGCGAAAATACGCCAATATGATTTTCAGGATTGCTGGACAAATTAACAAATGTGCGACTCGTATGACGCGCAATCTCGAAATGACAACTAGCCTTCATAAGATCCAAGAGGGCTGGAAAAACACCTTCGCGCACCATTTGCACCTGGTTCTGAACATTCTCACTCAGCGCAGCCAATGCTCTAGCACACTGAATTCTGACATCATCGTCTTCGATACTGCAACAGCTAAAAAGGGGTGGAAGAACACCGTCACGAACGAGCTGTGTCTTGACAGAAGCATCGAGCGACAGATGCCGCACACCTGCTGCACCCATAGTTTTAAGTGTCAAGTCGGAACTATGCAAAAGAGAAATAAGCGCCAGTACTGTGCCACCATCTTCTGCCAGTGTGGGCTTGAACATCTTATTTGCAACCAGCGACTTCAATGCAGCCGCTGCTTGACACTGCACCTCCCACTTCAAATTCCCAAGAAGCATATGCAAAGTTGGGACGGAGCCACTACTCAGCAGAACTTGATGAATGTCAAAATTAAGTGAGAGCTTGTGCAGTGCTAGTGCGAGATTGTATTGACACTCCTGGTCGTCTACCTTAGCAACTCTAGTTACAACGGCAAGTCCTTTTTCGTTAATAAAAACTGCATGAAATTCAGGCGTACTCATGAGATTTGTAATCAGTCTAGATGCTTCTCTGTACACTGGAAGATGTCTACTTCGCATTGCTTTTACTCCCACACGTACTGCATGAACATCGATCATGTATTCATGCGTACACATATCTTCTGCAATGTTGGCAGCAGCTCCGCAAGCATTTCGAGCAACTTCGATATCAGAGGACAAACACAAAACAAATAATTGCTGGAAAAGTGCAACTGAACCACTCGCAAGGATAAGTTTGTTGCCTCGTGCAAGACTTAAATGACACAGGCATGCTGCCGCTTCTCGCTGATTTTCCAATAGGTTTGAGTGTTGAGCACAGGCCAGTAGCACGGCCGCAAGAGCCTCGAAATGCTTAACAACCATTAAATTTTGATTCACATCCAAGCGCGCGATGCGGCGTAGCACTGATATAGCATGGCACTGCGTACTAGAATTGTTTGCTTCATTCGCGTCAAGTGCGAGCCCGATAAGAGACTCACCGCTGTTGCTAAGTTTGCAGATGATTTCGTGGAGAAACTCATTGGTCGCTATCTTGCCCAGTGCAAATGCAGCATAGAAGCGCATTTCAAGGCTATTCACTGAGTCGAGCGCTTCAATAAGTGCTGGTACAACTCCGTGATCTAGAAATACTTTGTGATTAGCATTGTTGGTAAAGATGCAGCCTAGTGCAAGCAGTGCGAATTGCCGAGGCTCAGAGTGATCCTTGTCTACAGCGAGCGCTATCAAGGGCAATACAATGTTCTCACGCACCACTTTCGAATGATTTAGCGGATTCGAAACGAGATTGCTAAGACAGATAACGCTAAAAAGCCGAATGTTAGGGTCTGTGTGCTGGATTGCTTGATTGAGAAAGCTTTGACAGCCATCCGCTTGTAACATATCATGGAACGCAAAATTTGAAGAAAAATTTGCCACACACTTTATAACTTCACGCGCTACACACGCAGGAATATTCTGAGCATCAACTTGCAGAATTATACGTAAGTCACGCTGCTCAGCAATGACCGAATGAGTATCGAAGTTTTCCGCTATGTTAGCGACACTAGCGCTTGCAAACGTTGCTGTATGCTCGTCGGTTGACAGCATCATTGTGATTAAGGCATCTAGTAATGGGGAAGCAGCAATGACACATTTATTCTTCTCTGCGAATGACAAGTTGTACGCCGTCATGCACACCTCACGTTGAAGCTGTACGTCAGATGAGTGTGCTCCAAGCACCAAAGGCTCTAGTCCACCCTCTGAAACAATGCGTATTCGTGTCTCCGATCGATTTGATAGTCCACGAAGGGCAGCAATGGCCACCTTCTGATCGCTCGCATCGTCAGAACAAGCTAACTGAATGATACAAGGTAGCCCACCCATAGCTTCGACCAATTCTCGGTGTGATGGATTTGCTGCGAGATTGCACAAAGCAAAAGCAATGCAGCGATGAGTTTCTAGGTCCACATGATTAGCTATCTTGACGAGAGGAGACACCGCACCAGCTGCAACTAATTCGCCTTGATATTGGCTACTTGCGGCAATGTTACTCAGCGTGACGGCTCCAAATAGTCGATAGGTGGCATCGGCCGAGCATAAGAACGCCACAAGTGTCTGCATTTCAAAGGCAGCAATGAGAACCTCAGGCTCTGCACCAACACAACCACTTAGAGACAAATTGCACAAGCACGCCAACACTTCTTGCTGGACATCCAAATCTTCAGACTTCGTTAAGGCTAAAAGTGGTCGCAAGACACCACGACGAACAAATTTGCGTCGTGCTGTTTCGTTTACGCACAAACCACGCAATGCACAAACAGCATGGTACCGGCACTTCGAGTCTTGGGACTCGAGTAGATGCTGCAATGAGCCTAGAAAGTCATCTCCAAGCTCAAGAAGACCAGTGTGATTTTCAGAAAATGCCGTAAAGTTAGCGATACCGAATGCCGCCCCATTTCTTAAAGTCAAGTCAGCATGCTGAAGCATTTGTGCAAACATGGACAGTGCGCCAGCATCAACAAGAATGCTTTGAGTAGCACGCACACTGGCGACGTTAACTAAGGCGAAGACAGCGTACCTCTGAGTATCTAAATCTCCATTAAGTGATCCATTTGCAAGCGCCACTAACAATGGTACAAATGCATCATGTACGATCGTGGGGATATTATCAGCATTTGAGGAAAGATTCGCGATGCCCATGGCTGCATATCGCTGACTCAAAACGTCTGGCGTATTCAATGCAGCCATCAGCGGTGTCAGACCACCACCCGAAATGATGTCAGTAGTATAAGCATACTCTGCAGACATGTTTGCTATAGTTCGGAGTGCTTCACGCTGTACTTCCACGCTCTTTGCACGTAGCATGAACTTAACGTGCTGTAAAACTCCATCTTTCACCATACGCCCTTGGTTTTCTACCACTTCGGCCAAATTAGCGAGGACACCACACGCCTGATGAGCCACTTCTCCGTCCGCTGAGTGAATCAATGTCAGTAGAGGGGATAGACCGCCGTCACGTACGATAGCTATCTTTATATCTTCACTTAGAGATAAATTCCTTAACGTAGCACAAACCTCACGTTGCACCTCGACATTTTCAGAAAGTGCTAACTTTAACAGTAAACGAAGAGCCCCATTTGCTACAGCTTGAATACGATTTCTCGCTTCAACAACCATTCTTCTCATTGCAAAGCATGCTTGCAAATGTGTGTCCTCATCAGCATCGTGCAGCAGTGCGATTACAGTCCGCAGCACCCCTAGCTTTGAAATCTGGACATTGTTGCCTTCGTTAGCCGCCAAGTTGTTCAAAGCAAAAGCAAGGGCACGACGAGTCTCAAGATCTTTAGCCTTATCGACGGTCATAAGCGCTGTCACAGCACCTTCGTCAAACAAATCACGGTGATTCTTATGGTTCACTGCAAGATTTCCGATGGCTAATGTTCCAAACCGTCTACACACAGCATCTTCGGTCTCTTGAGCAAAGGTTCCGATATAGCGCAATGCGTTGCTGCGCAAAAGAGCAACTTGACTCGATGGTTTCGCTGCAAACAAGGCGATGCAGCGAGAAACTTGGCGCTTTACTTCCAAATCAACACTTGATGCTAATGAGTACAAAAGTGTTAACACTCCTTCACCCAGCATTTTTTTATGCGTATCTCCTTCAATCATTTCTGCCAAGTTTGCCAGAGCGCAGACAGCTTGTCGCTCACGGTACGAGTCTCGACTACTCGCCAAAGCTATCAGTGTCGATAGACATCCACCACGTGTCATTGTGATTTTATTTTCTTCACTCAACGACAAATTTGAAAGCGTTGCTGATACTTCTCGCTGCACTTCAATACTTTCGCTCGAGCCTGCTAGAATAAGTGGCTCCAAAGCACCAAACTGCACAATCTGATGACGAACAACTTGATTAACTGAAAGCCCACGAAGCGCAGCAATGGCCTGGAACTGCACGTTAGGATCTCCTGGAAAACAGGAAGAAATGATTGATTGTAGAAAGTTGGCTGCCACAATACGTTCAATATTGTTTAGATTGCTGCACAGATTACCCACTGCGAACATAGCAAACTGGCGACATTTTACATCACGATGTTTAGCATAGCCAGCAAGATAAAGCAACGCTTTATCCAACAACACTTCGTGGGTAGACGGCGAGACGGCTAAGTTAGCTAGCACTAGAAGACAGTAACGAACAACATCATTATCTGCCAATGAGCGCGGATCTAACGCTTCTTCTAGGCGCGCTAGAACAGGAGGAAGAATGCCTTGATCGAGCAGCTTGATTTGGTTATTCATGCTTGTTCCGAGATTGCAAAGTGCCATCGCTGACATGCGCTGACAATCTACCACATCACTTCCTAAAAGAAGTATGAGTGGTGCAGCTGCACCTTGATTCAAAATTGTCTTGCCAAAGTCACAATTAGCCGACAAGTTACCCAAAGCACGAGCTGCTTCTCGCTGTGCGAAAATTTCTCCCTGCTGCATTGCATCCACAATTGGAGAAATAGCACCGTTCGCTACAAGATAACTTTGGTTTTCCACGTCTTCGGATAAATTTGCTACTGTACAAAGAGCTTGCCGTCGAAGACTCACATCGATACTTGCAAGTGCAGATAGGATTGGTGGCAAGCCACCACACTTACAGATATCAGATTTGTTGGCATCCGCGAACGACAAAGTGCAGATTGCAGGTATAATATCAGCTTGTAGATCGGTACTCTCGGTACGCGCCAGAAACAGCACAGGCTCAAGACCACCCTCGTCGGTTATCTGCTTGCGCAGATCGGCATTCATTGCGACTTTTACGAGCGCGAATGCTGCATACTGGCGTACCTCCTCATCAGGTGCACTTGACAGCGAGATAAGCAGCGGCAACGAGCCTTCTTCAACAATGGCCCGATGATTTTCGACACAAGAAGCCAGATTTGCGATAGCCAAAGTTGCAAACCGCTGTATCTCTAGCTCCACATCCTCGGACCGTGCGAGAGACATAAGAGGCTCCATGGCTCCACGATCCATAAGCACTTCACGCAAAGCTGAGTTTGTAGCCAAGTTGCAAATGCCTAGTGCTCCAACACGCTGCGAGGCCATATCGGGTGACAACAGGTACGATATCAGCAGCTGATGTCCACCATGCTCGACGATGTCATCGTGATTTGAGCGAAAGGCGGAGAGGTTTCCTAAGGCACGACCAGCTTCACGTTGTACCTCCACAAATTGAGAGCGCATCGTAACAATTAAAGGTGGAACTCCTCCATCAGAGCAAATTTTGTCTTGATTTTCTTCAACTTCGGCAAGATTGGCCAGTGTAGCACAACACTGTCGGGCAAGCTCCATATCTTCGGACTGAGAATGCACAATCAATAAGGTCACAGCACCGCTTTTCGCAATTTCATACTTGGTCTCATCACTTGCAGACAAATTGCACAGGGCTGCACTCGCCTCGCGCAGAATTTCCAGATCACTAGACTGAAGTAAGAGCACAAGAGGCTCCAGCCCACCTTCCTGGATAATTTTTACTTTATTCGCTTCACTCGCCCCCAGCCCACGTATAGCAGCAACAGCATGATGATGCACGTCAGTGTCTTCCGAACATGCAAGAGTAATAATGGGTTGAAGCCCTCCTTCCTCAACCATACGTGTGTGATTGTGCTCGTTTGATGCAAAATTTGCCAAAGCAAACGCTACATAATATTGACTCAGGGCATCAGCCGTACTCGCCAGTGAGAACAATGACACAAGACATCCAGCGTCAACTAGCGCTGAATGATTAGCTTTCATTGCAGCCAGGTTTGCTAGAGCGAGCACGGCATATCGTCGAGCTTCAAGCTCGCGATCAAAAGCTTGGGCAAGCGTGATCAACGGAGTAATCGTTCCCAGTCCAACGATCTGAACTTGGTAGCTCGCCGTTGTGCTTAGATTTGCTAAGGCCAACGCAGCGTAGCGTTGGCAAACGTGATGATTCAAAACTAGCGCTGCAGCGAGCGGGTGAAGGACTCCTTCTTTCATCAGTGTGGGTTGTACTTCTTCATTCGCTGTGAGATTGGCAAGACAACGGCATGCTTCGCAGCGTGTACTGAGATCTTGGTCCACTGCCAACGCCATAATCGATGCTAAACCGTTCTCGCGCAAAAGCTTATCATGAAGCTCGTGCAGCTCCATCAAATTAGCAATCGTACCGCATGCGTGCTCCTCAACAGCCGGATCACCCGAAAGCGATAACGAGATTATAGTCAGAAGCGCCCGATCTGAGATTTCAACTTTGTTTTCGGGGGTAGCAGAGAGAGCACAGAAAGCTGCTGCAACTTCACGCTTGATGTCAGACTCGTCTGAGCGTGCCATAAGCACCAAAGGATCCAGTATGCCTTCTTTTACCACAATGACCCGATTAATCGGTGATATGCATATACCTCGAAGACAGGAGAGAGATTGCCTCTGTGCACTGAGCTCTCTGCAGCATGCCAGTGCAATGAGACGTGGAACAGCACCCCCGTCGACAATTAATGATCGATAATCATTATTTACGGACAAGTTCGCCAGTGCAAACGCACAATAAACACCTGAATGGACAATCTCTGGGTCAAGTAGCTTTACCAACGGTTCGATCGTGCCTAGTTGTACAATCTCTTCATGGTTTTCGGGTTCAGCTGCCAGATTGCCGATTGCCATTGCTATGTATTGTTTCGCGACTGTATCATTTTTGTTGTCATCATCTTTGAAAAAGTTTACGAGTGGAGGTAGCGCGCCCTCTTCAACAATTCGAATGCGACTTGCTGGACTCGATGCTACATTTGCCAAACACAGACAAGCGAGACGGAGCGCTTCGGAGTCACTAGATTGAAGGATTAGTGTCAACAAGGCATTCACAACACCCTTAGAAACCATTTTTTCGTGCAGCTCAGCGTTTGTTGAAATATTTGCTAGACCAAATGCCACATCTCGCTGGTCCGTAGGGCTACGCTCACGGCGCCCACGCGCAATAAGTTGCTCCAGCACCTTGGACATTTCGTGATCAATCCGAAAGCGATAGAAAAATTAACATTAGCAGTAGGTTTGGTGTCTCCTCGCGACGGTGAAAACTGTCAAACAAACGAACTGGTGCAGGAATTATACAAATGTAACGCTAAATGTTATTTTCAATCAGTTAGTCACCGTATTCCTCTCTAATACGTTTAAGGTGATAACTTCTAGCATCCGGTGCATTCTTGCAATAAAAGTTCGAAATGAACGACTCAATCTACAGCAGCAATGACGACGAAAATCTTCATCAATCTTTCTTTGTTCTATACTAGACAAGATATGTCGTACCTTCGGTCGAAAAAATGCGAGCGAAGAGCTTGTTATGTGCACGCGGCAACATTGATGGAGACGCGTCCTGTAAACAACAGCAAAATTAACATTTAACCTTGTAACAATGTCACTTCATAATTCAATGCAAGATTTATTTACCAGTGCGACTTTTCTGCATCGGCTTCATAAACAGAAAAGTCTTCCAGCACGCCCAGCGATTGAAAAGATTTGTTTCGAATATACACATAGAATATCTAAACGACTTTTTTTAGACTGAAAACAAGATAACAATATACAACGCCATTCACCTACGCGATTTTGCTTGTCAAGCAGTGAGTCCTCGATGTACTCGACAAAATCGGAATTGACAAATCGTTTGATCAAAGATGGTGCTTCATTTCTGAAGCGTACGTAAGAAAGTTAGCTATCTCAATGACTTCAACCAATAAAATCCCTTCTGTACCGGAATCGTAAGAGTCGACGCTTAAAAACAGCGCAGTAGTCATCAAGTTGCCGTTCCTCGAGCACCTCAATAAAAATTAGAAGCCGACTTGCCGGATCTGGTAAAGGTTCCTTGAATTTACGGTAGTATACATCTGCAGTCTGTAAATAAGCGCGTAAGCGATATGGTGATATAATCTCGTCAGTGAACAATTCAGCCATGCTTTGAGTCTATTCTCAGAAATAACCTGCTCGACAGTGTACGGAATCTTGACAGTGCAGTCCCCAAACTGAAATGCATCCTGGTCCCTCGGCAGCACCAATGCTAACCGCGGCACAGTATATCCATCATTTGGTTGCTGATGGATTTGAATACGATGATTGCGAAGAAATGAGCCCAACTCCGTTTCTTTAGGCTCTCGGAGCCTACGTCTTTTTATATGAGAATTGCTTTTGGCGACAGTAGATGATACTTGTAGACGTTTTGGCCACAGAAAGCTCTATCCAACAGATTGTCAATACTTAATAGTCGTCCCAACTTAATTGAAAACAATAGAGTTACTTTAGACTGTAGCAAAATGACGATGGCGTAGCCGAATGCAAACCAAAGAAGTGGTAAGAGTTTCTCTCTGACTTGCTTAATTGGTGTCTTAGTGCTGCGTCTCCACATCTCGACAGCGACAAAATATATGATTGCAAACACTAGAAACGTTAGAATCTGCAATTGCCATAAACTCTGCCCAGAGAGACGTTGTCTGATTCGTGCAGACAACCCTCGGGGTTCTAAGGCTGCATTCTGTTCAGCCGTCAATGTAATCTCTTGCGATAGCTTCCTGACCAGTTGTAAGAATTGATTCTCAGCATCTTGTTGCGATAATCCCTTTGACTTGTACCAGCTTAACCTAATTGAATCAGAGCCACAAGCTACGCTTAGAACTTGAAAGGTATCTAGAATAATGTTATACTGACCATTGCGCACGATCAGACGAGAATACGACACTAGGTGCAATCTCAGTACAGTCGCCGATCTTCACCTTTTCGTACATTATATTGTGCTCGTCGCTCGTAGCCTCAGCTAAATCGCGCCTGGAACTATCGGTCATCTGTAACTTGTCCGGTTTGTTATCTTAAAAATGACAATGACAATGACAAAAAAGGGTAGATGACAACGATTACGATTTCAAATTGCGTAACAATTGATGTCCTCTTCCAAGAATTCCCCCTCGAGTAGATCTATGCCGAGATGTATAGGCTTGCACAAACTCTGCTAGTTTTATTGTGAAAAGCTGTCTGACTCACCCCATATATGTTACTCGGTATGCAAACGAATTCGTTCATTTCCAAGTCGATGGCCGCAAAGCCGACATAAAGAAGTAGCCTTGGTTTTAAGCCGGGGGCCTTGCTGTAGCCGTTTACTGGGTGAGGAGATTGAGGGTGAGAGCGAATGAGGTGAGCGGATGTTTTATTGAATCGAACGCTTCAGCCATGGATCCGCCATCTATCACGACGTTCTCTTAAGGTCGCTTTCTTATATGAATGCATGCAGTTTTATCGAGCTGATTACATGCGTATAAGCTTTTTCTTTGGGTTTCTTGAAGTATAACAAACGCGATAACCAATTCTGGACAGCCATACATGGAGTCTATGAAGCTTCGGCCTTTGTATTACGCTTTGCTCTTGCATCAAGTAGATGCAAATTGGGATGAATGCGTCATCGCAGCTCGCCAGCAAGCACAATAATCATACTTCTTTGCCATGTATTCCTTTGAGGAAGGATAAGGCTGACGGATGCGCTTTTGCGTTGTCCAGGCTATAAGGTGATGCATGACGTCGCGCATTCATGAGGCGGTAAGTACAGCGTACGGGTCAGATGCAACATGTGCGCGCATTACTGAAAGATCTGGGAAGTAATGAGCTTTCAAACTTAGTTGTCGCCTTGCCAAAGCGTCTGGGTGGACACAGCATCACTTTTCCTTGTCAGAAATCTTGCTGTATCATAGTACTGACTCGCGCGGTACTTAATTTGATATGACGGGACCAAGTGATTAAGACCTCAGGTACGAGGCCCATGAAACCTTCTTGAATGACAACTTTGGTCGAGAAAGACTTACCGCTAAGTGTAAAAGCGCTATGTACTGATGACCCAGTGTAAGAGGGCGCTGTTCACAAACAGTCCCTTAACACAATACACACGCTTGTGCGACGAGGAAACTACTCCCGACGCCTGACTTGATGGGAAAAAGAACGACTTAAGCCCTTGACAGCAAATTTACAGCTGAATTAGAATGGTTTATGGTCCCTAGCTACATGCAAGATACCCTGGACTCTTGATTTATGAATCAAGCGTGTACTGAGGTAAAACCTTAGATTCAACTGATACAAGATCTTGGGTGTACGGAGCATGAACTTCGAAAGCTTAAACTTCAACTATCGTGGAAAGTATCCACTAGAAGGGACTGACTTGCGCTACCTACTTCTAAACACAGAGACACGTCGATCTCATCGCCAGTACAGATCCCCAAGTAGAAATTAACATTATGTATCCTACAGAATGTTTGTGACATCATATTAGATGTCACGTATGCATTTGGGAACACCATACTGTGATATTCTATTTGTCAAGTCTCAAAATACATACAGAAGGTACATAGAGTACCTTCATGTAATAGCTAAGTGTTGACCATTACATCGTTGCCTCCTTAAAGTCAGAAGTACTTTGATACATTTGCAGACATTTTCAAGCAGCTCACTTTCCGATCGACAATGAAGCGATCAAGTGAACAAACTTACATGAAAGAGTGTTCATCGCCTAAACGACAAAGAACGGCTCAATAACTCTTTGACGTTTCCTCCAGTCTCAACTTAATGGAGACAAGAGGTTATACATGGACCATTTCTTCCATTGGCGTCGGATCAACAATCGTGATGATCCGACCCAGCCCATCGTCGCTAAGCTTGACTATTGGCAGACATTTGTTCGCCTAGAGAACGAGAACAAAATGGAGCGTCTGTTTCGCCGAGACGACACTGTCAGCAATTTAGTCACGACCGAGCACAACCGAGCTCTGTTCGTCGTTGTGTTGCCTCTAGCAACACTACACTTGATTCTCGTAGCTGCGGACCACGTCGAGGACATCAGACTCGAAGGCCTGACGAAGGTCCCACGTGTTCTAGTCCGATGAATAGCCGCGCCACCAAAATTTTAGAAGCGTTGATGGCACAGCTGCTTCTTTAGGCGATGATGAGTCGATCGATACTCGTGATCGACAATCCTCTCCACCACCCAACGTCGCTCTCCACGAGATCTCTGATAGCGGAGGTGGGTGGTGAACGTGAAAACACTTGAACGACTCTGGAAGTAGAAGAGCGCTAATCGCGGGCAAATGGAGGCATTGCAGCAGCGTTGCTCGAGGCTTCAAATCGCTGCGAGAGCCTTTAAAACCTTATTGCAGAGCAGAACTCGAAACTCGACATTATGACTGATGGTTTCACTCAATTTTCGGCTTTGGAGTCCCGTTTTTAACTATGGTTTCAACAGGTTCATCATGAACTTGTTCGACACTGGGAGGACGAAAATTTTTGTTAGATGGCTCACGAGCACCTGATGCGGCTCTGTTGAAGAGGCAGGTTCTGTTCTCGAAGTACTCCGGGGCAAGTACCATTCTCGCCATCAAGCGTTGGAAGCAGTAAAGAAGAAACCCGTTGATGTATTTCAACGCTTGTACGTCGAGAAGAATCTCCAGGATGAGAAGCTGCTCTTCGTGGATATATAAAAACTTCATAATCAGCTTGATCATATACAAAAGGTATAGCAGGATCGTCAGATCCACCCGAATGATACGACTTTAGCCTACCCACATAAAATGTAGGATGTAGGCACATGCGTGTAAGGATGGCTAATGTATACGCATCACAATTGCATTTCAATACCTTGAACGTACCTACATAACTTGGTTAAAGCTTCGTGCTTCCCAAGTTGGACAATGTATGTTCCGGCAGATTTGTCGCGCTAAGTAGTGCAAGATCATTGACCTTATTATATACCTTCTTGGTCTTCCTTCCGCTCTTATCTGCTTGTTCTTTTTTGCAGATCCGGAACTTTCGCAATTGCGTCTCGAATAAACTTGTCTCTTCACGATGAAGTCATCGACGTGCTGTTTCTCACGGTTTGTCATGTCGTTTATAGGTCTCGTTGAGTCAAAATTCACGTTTAGCTTTGTGACAGCATTTAGGGTTTACTGTGGGCGTATAGCCATCGCTCCCCCCAATCTAGGTAGAGACCTCACCCATTATGGATGCAGGTACATTAGGATGAATACCATAGTTCACATCAGATGGTGAATGACCTGTCGAGACATGCGTGGAGTTGTTCAGCGCAGATTCTGCAAGAGGAAGAAAGTTACTCCACTTTTTAAGCATAGTAGCATAACAACTCAATACGTCCTCCAAAACTCGATTCAAACGCTCTGATTGACCGTTCATTTCAGGGTGTTCTGCTGTTGACATGGACGATTTGGTGCCCGATGGCCTAAAAGTGCACGCTAAATCTTCGACGTAAAACGGGGTTCATGGTCAGACATGATCTCAATCGGAAGGCAATGCAGACGAAAAGCAACGTCAACATAATTCTAAGCTGTCTTTTCGGCACAGATCTCATCCGAAAAGGCGCAAGATTAGCTAACTCGCTTAAGCGATCCACTAGGACAAGGATGACACTGCGTCCGTGTGTGTCCGAATTCGATGTCCGAACTCACAGACGTCCAGCTCTAAGTTGGCACTGACAACGGCCGAAGTGGGGCCTGAGTGGAATCCAATGGTTCCATTCTCTGGCAAATCTCACAAGTCCTCACATAATTGCGCTCCCACTCACAAATGTGTGGCCAAAAGTAATCCGAGATAAAAGATCTTTTCCTCACGTCCGAGATGGCCACTCGAAGGTCTGTCACGGTATTCATTATAAGTGACGACGAAGCAAACTTTTGTCATTTCGAGCGACAACTATTGCTGTATCCCCGTGTCCAACCACATAGTACTATACTCCAAGACGATAAACTCGCGTATTTGTGTGAGACGGAAGACATTGCGGTGTTTTGAAATACTTCAACAAGTTCTGACATGTCTCATCAGGCTTGTGCCCATCAACAATTTCTTCGCTCACTGTAGTCGTAGCTTGTACTCTGATCGTCTAAACATCTTTGCATTGTTGTGCCTGTTCGCTCCTGGACTTTGGATCAAATTTCGGACGTCTTGACAACCATCGGCTAAGATGCTCGTCGTGCCTGGCTTGTAGTATACAACAAAGATGTACTCCGCAAACAAGGAAACCCATCAAGTCATTCTTTGCGATAAATAAGGAGTCTTAACTGCCGTACGCAGTGAGGCATGATCTGTATAGTTCGCAAAACACTCCTCTCCAATTAAGTACACAGGGAACCTAACCTAAGCCTACTTCATTGCTAGAATGTATTTTTCATGAACTGGATATTTTCGTTCCGCGGGCCGGAGTTGTCGCGACTGTTACGAAATAAATCTCTCCCGACCCTCATCATCGTGTTGCATCAACGCAAAACCGATGGCATGTATCTCGAATCACATGAAAAGGCTTGTCGTGATTTGCAATCGCAAGAACAAGTATTTCTCTCAAACTCTTTTCAAGTTCGGCAAATACCGCCTGTTGATTTTTTTACCATTCTCACTCAACATTCTTTGGTAAAAAAAGGCGTTAAGGGTTGCACCAGCGCTCATATTTGCGCGTGTATTTGTGCAAATAGTTGACCAAGCCCAACTATTGTCTCAGCTATTTCACATTGTTTGGCCCAGGCCAATCATTGATAGCTTTGACTTTCTCCGGATCTACACAAACGCCACTCTCGCCCACAAAGCAAATGAGAACGGATGTATCTGGTGCAAAGAAAACGCAATTTTTCAAACTAGCGTAGATTTTTTTCTCTCGCATAACTTGGAAGACTTGACGAAGATGATCAGGATGAACATTGACAGCAGAATTCCATCCGTTTTCTTACTATGATCGAATATATCGTCGTAGTAATTAGATGCAACCTTTCTCAATAAACGAAGATTTACGAACACTCTGTTAAACGTCGCGAGAGCGTTATTTAATCTTGGCCATCACTAAGCTCCCCCATGGCATACCACGGGAAGTACTGACTGCAATTAGTGGTGTATCATTTTCGCGCATTCGTATCTGATAGAAACCATCTTACAGATCGTTTGCACTGAAAATAGTACTGCCAAGTATTCATTAAAAACCATACCCTTTCGTGGATCCGAAGTCCGGGCAGGTATGGTCGCATCGCTCAATTTGTTGAAAGCGTCAACAATGCGCCAACCTTCTGTGGCTTTCTTCACGCAGAAACTTGGGCTACAATGAGGCGACTTGTTCTCCCGGTGCGGAGACTTGCTCTCCCGATGCAGAGACTTGCTCTCCCGATGCAGAGAATTTGTCTCCCGCACACGACCAGTATTCTGTCGCAGCGCAAATGACTTCTACTTTTGGCAACGGCCACTACCGTGTGACGGAATACTTCGAACCAGGAAGCATGTCAATCCCATGACGATTGCCTCTGTCAGATGGCAATTCGCCCAGCACCTTGTCTGAAATATATCAGCATATTCCTTGACAACTCCTTACACGAAGTTTCATTTTAGAGCGTTTCACAAATGCTCATCATACCTTTCCTTTAGTCTTCTTGTCAGATATCCGCAGTATTGATGTCATCGTCGATAGTTTCTTTGCAATCGCACATATCTGCGAAATCTCGCCTGCGCTTCAGGGTCTTCTTGCTCATCAATGGCAAGATAAAAAACAATTTCTCGACTGATCTTAAAGGGTTTTCAATCCTCACGTGACGAATAACATTGACGTCACCTTCTTCGCTGTAGGTCACAACATTTATAAACTCGCTTGAAATGACTTATTCTTGAACACTTTCTTTATCAATACGACTCGTACCTTGATCAGGGGAACGCAAATTACTTGACGAAAAACATTTTTGGTGGCCTTCTTTTTCTTTTCTCGGGATAAATTTTTGCCTCGGATCCCACTATTCGTCGTGCTACAATCGACCATGACTTCCAAGTTGATAGCATAGGTGACAGTCCTTTTCTGGTGCCTGACTGCTCGACATTTCAGTTTGTGTCTTTGCTTTGCCTTCTTGATCTTGTCCTGTGAAATAGGGGGCCATCGCACACCACAATATCACTTGGGATATTTGTGACTTCTTCAACAGATGCATATGCCCATATTATTTCGTTCATCGTCATGCAGCTCGAATAAGCGCTGGGCAACTTTTTGACGACGATCTTTATATTCATCCAGTCCAAACTAGGCTGATATCGCTTGAACCATGACATAGCTTGGATATTCGAGGTCGAGTAGGATAAACTCGTCTTCACCTCGGAAATCTTCAAACTTAATTGCCTAGCGAATGACTGGCTTTGGCATTTTTTTCTAGATCCATTCGCTAAACGAATGATTATTTCTCAACTCACATTGACGAACCCCCAGTCACAAATTGCGCTCGAACAAAGTTAATAGACGTACCAGTGTCAATCAAAGCTCGTAGTGGCTTCTCGAAGCCATCTACAAAGACTTCTTAGACAATCAAAGTCGCGCTTTTCCTGTTACTTTCATCACTCATAGTGGAGACTGCATGTGCATCATGCACGTTGCGGCCAGAATTCTGTGTATCCAACTCAGCAACAGTACTCAAATCGAGCCCAGAAGGGCAGCCCCGCCCCTACTGGTCGCTCCCTTTGGAGCGTTCGAGCTGATGACCTTTGTAGCGTCCGAACAAACACCCTGTGTCTGTTGCCGACTCGACAAAAATACTCTGCAGTTTCGAGCAATATGATCTGGCTTCCCACAACGATAACACTTTCCATCGCTGCGAGGACGCTCATTTTCAGGCGTGGAATCGTACAAATTGTCCATTGGCTCTGGACCATCACTTGTACCGGTCGACTGGCGCGCTTGCGCTTGGTATGAAGCCATTAAACTTGGCTTGCTGGATGATAAACTCTTCTTGCATCGCTCAGTTGATTGCATAGTCCATCGTCTAGTGATATTGCGGAAGAATTAAAATCGGATTGAACCATCATTCAAGTCTTCCATGAACGTTACAACTTGCGTTGAAACTTCAATTGGCTCATCGACAATGCTCGATACCGAGTAGCGAGCGCGCTGTGGGTACGAGTGTAGGTCGTGACGACATTGACGAAGCTTTGAGAACTCGGCACGGGTACGAAACTTATTCTGTGGCGGTTTGAACGCTTGATTTTGAAGTGTTTGTAGCTGAGTAATTAGTTTAGTTAATCGGCTCACGCTCCCATACGCCCAACCCTTCGCACGATTCGCAAGGTTGGACATCATGAACAACACTTGCTGCAAGGGGTCTTGCAATGATTGCTGCACCCAACTCGATAAACCATCATGAGAGAGATTCCTTCTCTCCACCACGGGCCAAATACACATTCAGCTTCAAAGTCATCATTCTGTACGATGAAACAGGCATTGCGACCTGCTTCCAAGGTTCCATTATTTTATGAAACTGACAACTGCGTTCTTTTGGTCATCCGGAGAAGACGACTGCAGTAAACTGACTACTACAGCTTCTGCGATGACTTCTCGCACCCGCTCTAATTGAAACCTCCTGACGAAAAGGTTAAAATGAACCTAAAGCTCGAGCTCCCAAAAGATAGGTCAATGAATCGTTTTCGCTTGAAGTTGACCCTCAAACTCGATTAGATCAATTTAAGAAACAAGAGAGGTTAACCCGTCTTCTCAAACAGGTCAAAAAGATACCCAAGGAACGACGTCGAGATATACAACAAAACGTTAGGCGCAGAGACTTAAGCAAAATGTTGTGTAGTAAGTCGAGAAGAATCTTTTACCTTTGACTAAGGCCAGACGGATGAAAAAGCTAGCCAATGAGATATTCGCCGATGGAGATGTCGAAGATTTTCAAATTAATACTAAATAAGCTACATTTGTTTTACTAAAATAAAACATGGTGTATAAACGAATCATGATCGATCTTTAGGAGGCTCAAGCCAAAAAAGCTCTCTCGGGTAAGCCACATCTTTTGACTGTTTCCCAAATTGGCAAAGTGGGATGCAGTGTCGCTTCACTTTTCTAATGCTAAAATCGTTGAAAGAGCAGCTATAAAAGGTAAAGGATGCAACGTATATCTATCTCACAGAGAATGAGCAGGTACGTGTTCTCATATGAACGGGTCGGGATCCAGGGGTTATGTCTGGAATGGGGTGAAGAAGGTCTGGGGAGCCTTGAATGATACAGAATTGCAAGCAAACTGGTAGATATGGCAGTGCCAGCTGTAAGTATTTTTAATTGTCAGCCGGGCCTTGTCAACGAAGCGCGAAAATTTTAAGAATCGACAACCGGTGTTGGCATTCGTCGCACCAAAGTAAGGAGTTGCTCATCGCTAAGAAGCTTTACCTATTGTGAGTAAAGTATTCCATGGATAAATTATGTAGAATATATCTTCCTCATTATTCATAGCATATGATAACCATGTGATGCAGTATTGCCCGCAGTATCCAAAGTGCTGATCCCGAATTTGGAGCGGTGTCCGATCCAGATGAGTTAGCCCAAGTGGAGGTGGCAGCGAAAGCGAGTCAAAATGCTTGTTCATATACGTGGCTACCCAGTGTGTACCAACTACTCTGAGTTGATTAGTTGAAACCTGCCCGATTTTTGAATTGCTCCCTAAAAATTGATCGTAGTCTTCTCGTCATGTGATCTCAGCTTCAATTTATAATCTTCTAGCAATTTTCTAGTTCGTTCCAGGATTTCTGAGAATTTGACCCAACAACGCAGGGCGTTCGTATTTTTTTTCTCAAAACCATATCTGACCTTTAATACATAACGAATTTCTAATATCGTTTCCAGTGAGTTCATATAGTGACCGTGTCGCGTTTGATGAATCCGTCTCATCTCAAGACAATTCCGTTCTCTTTCAACAGAAGTGTTGGACCTACACCACCGACAGCAGCTCAGCAGCTGGTACAGTTGCAGGTCAAATTCAGTTCAATTTGAACACTTTGGTCAAAATCACTGGACTGATCTTTCGCAGGCTACTATGCAGTTTCCTATCAGATTGAATATCACAAGTAATTCAGCGATCTCGGCTGAAGGACATGTAGGCTAAGACGGCTTTGGAGCCAGCATCAAAAAGGGCTTCGATCAGCTCGTGGACCCTGTCAGTATCGTTCTGAGCGGAACTAATATTCAATCCCAGCAGATATCTGAGAATACAAATGCTACGTTTAGACTCCTAACAAAATGGTCTCAGGATTCCGATCTCACTGTGTGGTTATTACTGTTTGCTCACCTGCGTATTCCGGTGTGCAATACTCATGGGTCGGAATCCCGGGTTTGAAGAGGAGTGTCAGTTGTTCACGACTTCATTATGTTCGGTGTTCATATCTTCATTGCCATTGCGATCGGTGATTTCAGGTGCATGTAACTCCTTGGCTGATTTCATCATATTCTTTTTTTGCAAGGAAGTCGAAGTCTGTCATGTCAGTATCGTCATCGTATTCAGCATCGTATATTGGAGGTTCAGTTGACATTGTAAATCTGAAATTGAAGCAAAAATGGTCGACGTTGGTGCAGATTGAGATTGGCAGATGCTTGGGTGGTTACGCAGTCTGTCGTTGTTTTTTTAAATGTCGACGATACGACTCGAGAGTGATTTCTAGTACTGCAATCTCGGACGAATCTTCGAATTCTCTAGTATCATCACTTTGAGCTAAGGTTGCACATTGCTGCTGTCGTTGTTGGTCAGAAGTCAAGATGACATCAAGGCTGCGTGGGGTTGCTGATATTGAAAATGGCATGATATTTGTTTTCGCTTTTGAAGAACCAATATGCCATTTTTGTTAATGTAGTGAAAAAATCCGCTGTGTCTTTTTCTCTACAACAGCAAGTTCCGATTTCTTACGTCGTACCCACCACTGTCTTCGTTCGCATGAGCCTTTCGAAAATGACGCGGCAACTTTTCGCGAAGATTGGCTCTTCATGAATACAACTTGGATGGAGAAACAAGTTCTTCTGCTTCGATTTTGAATTTTATGACTTCAACTTGACTTGCAACTGTTGTTGTTGTTGTTGTTGGTGGTGGTGGTGCTGTCATTTTGGGTCAAATTTAAGAAGAACAACTCATAATATCATACCCCACCCAACAGTCTGGTCCTTCTGACCCCGTTCTTCTTCTTCTTAGGTCCAGATGTAACAATGTTGAACAACTGGCGCTGCAACATATATGGACTACTCATCAATGGCATTAATCAGTAACCACGTGGGCCATGTTATCCTCACTAACAATACAAACATTGTCATATATGTTGACAACATAAAACATTATATGCGGGTCTCGCAGTTGTCTCGCAGTGATTGCTGCATCCAACTCGACAAACTATCGCGAGAGAGACTCGTTCTCTCCACCACGGTGCAAAGACACGTTCAGTTTCAAAGGCATCATTTTGTATAAAAAATAGAGTTTCCGATCTGCTTTCGACATTCCCTAATCTCATGATGCATGAAACTGACGGCCGCGTTCTCGTGATCATCTGGAGAAGATGAGTGCAGTGTATTGACTACTGCAGCTTCCCCGATGACTTCTGGCATCAGCTCGAGTGCCATGCACTTATGTGAAGACAAATGAGTAAAATTCGTCAACATCTCTGTTTGCGGTGCTGATGGACCGAGTGGTATCCAACTCCCTCCGCGTCGCTCGGACAAAGACACGAATATGGCTTGGGCCTTGATGCGCGACGAATTATTAGCCGCATCGTCAATCCAAAATCACGTGTCGACTTCTTTACGCACATGATATCAGCTAGCCGCTCGGCTATTCCTACCCCACCAAGCCATGATCCATGAAATGGCGGCGTCAGCGGGACGCGAGGATGAGCAATCCCACTCACTTAAACGGCGTGTAGCCGGTAGACGCATGCACTTCATTGTTCAGAGCAAACTCCACAGTTGGCAGCATGGCGCTCGGGCGCCTCAGCGCCACTGCGCAGACGCTGCGAAGGACGTCTTCAACAACGCGATCCACGCGCTCAATTTGTCCATCGATCTGCGGATAAATTGCTGTGGGTGTAGTCAATTTGGTACCCTGCACTCCGAAGATTGTCCACCGAAATCTCCAGTAAAGCGTGGGTTATTGACTCCGGGATTCCTTGTTGTCGAAAGACACGAACCACAAACAGCGTCGCTGTACCGACACCTTCGATGGTGTCCGGCAATGCCGCAAGGTAAGCCATCTTGCTCAAACGGTCGACAAAGACCACCATACCCGTGTTGCCCGCCGAGTCCTTCGGCAGGCCAAACACAAAGTTCATACTCATGGTCTGCCAACACCTGGGGGGGGGTGTTACCGGTAAAGTGACCATCGGAGCCGCTGCATTCGGAAAGTTTTTGACCCTTTGACACGTGCATATAAGTGCTCGTCCATCGTACAGCTTGGGCCACCAATAGTGGTAACTCACAGAGCTGTAGGTCTTCTCACCACCGAGACGACCACTAAATGGGGGTGTCATGGGCCTCATAGAGCATACCGTACCTCGATTTCTCATCGTGAGGAACCACAATTCGTGGCATATCCGTTGGGTCGGTGATATCATCCAGCAGTCCGTTATCCAATTAAAATTGTTGCAACCGTGCGGGCAGGCGCGACGACAACTTCTCGTCCGAGTTTCCAAACGCCTTGCCTCGAGAGCCTTTAGCAGCGCTGCACACATACCATCACCCGCGTATGCGGCGCGAATTAAATTCGTCACTGATGACTTCACCGTTGTAACATGAGCATGCTCATAGTCTCGTCTGCGTGACAACGCATCAGCCAGAGCATTCTGCTTTCCCGGCTTATACTTCACATCGAAGTTATATTCCGCAAAGAAGAATAGCCATCTAGCCATCCTTTGCGATAGGTGGGACGTCTGAGTCACAGTGCATAGTGACGCATGATCAGTATAGATCACAAACGGCTTGGAGCCGAGCAGGTGGACCCTGAACTTGACAAGTGCAT